CGGACTCGTCTTCGTCAACCTCGGATCCTTCTACGTCTTCAAGCCTGTCCACGACCTCGAGTCCATCTTCTACGACCCTAGACTCATCATCCTCAACCTCGGACCCTTCTACATCTTCGAGCCTCTCATCTACGACATCAGACTCATCTTCTACCACCTCTGACTCGTCGCCAACCTCGGATCCTTCTACGTCTTCGAGCCTATCTTCTACGATATCAGATTCGCCTACAACTTCGAGCTTACCGTCGACTTCGAGTCTATCTTCCACGATTTCGGACCCATCTTCGTCTTCGAACCCCTCTACGACCTCGGATTCTGCGACTTCGAGCCTACCTACGACCTCAGGCCTGTCTTCTGCGACCTTAGACTCGTCTTCGTCTTCGACCTCAGATCCTTCTGCGTCCTCGAGTCTATCTTCGACGACCTCGGATCCGTCTACATCTTCGAGCTTGTCTACGACCTCGAGTCCATCTACGCCTTCGAGCACCGCAACGCCCGACTCGTTCGCAACGCCAACTACTTCCAGTGTGACAAGCACAACATCGTCTTCCAATTGTGTAGCAACATCAGCTTCAGTTGGAGATGTTTTGAACACTCCAGATGGAGATTCCTGGATCAACTTCTTCTCCTCTGGATGCGGATTGTCCTTGGACTGGCAAACGTTGAACTTTAACAATCTTTATGTCTATCAACGCACTGATTACACATTCGACGAGGCATTGTTGAGCTGCGCAGAGGTTGCTGACAATGATGGCTCGGCTGTCTTCGAGTTCGAGACTGACACGCGCAATAATGATCGATGGGTATGCTGGACTCTCAACGGCATCACCAATGACCCGGCTCAATTCCAGCCTTATCCTGGCATAGCTGATGCATACGGTTGGTATTTGCCAAGCAGGCTGGCTTCGGTAACAACCACATCAACATCAACAACGACTTCCGCTTCTACATCCACACTATCAACTTTAACTACGAGTTCCGCCTCCAGTGCTACAACCACCGACCCCTCCCTCGCTCCTTCAACCACATCGTCAGTTCTGACGACGCCATCCGCCTCCGCCGTAACGACTACGTCAACATTTGACAGCACAACAGCTTCTGAGCCAGCATCAATCACCACGACGAGCACACCAACATTTGATAGTACCACAACTTCTGCTCCGGCATCGATCATCACAACAAGTACACCAACAGCTGATGATAGCACAACTTCTACACCCGTTAGCAGCTCCACAACGTCTACACCAGCATCAATTATCACGACGAGCACACCAGCAGTTGATGATACCACAACTTCTACATCAATTGACAGCTCCACGACTTCTGCTCCAGCATCAATCATCACGACAAGTACACCGACAATTGATGATATCACAACTTCTACGCCCATTGGTAGCTCTACAACCTCCACGCCAGCATTAACCATTACGACAAGCACATCAACATCTGACGATATCACAACTTCCGCATCAATTGGCAGCTCCACAAGTTCTACGCCAGCGTCGGACACCACGACTAGCAGCACAACAACTGACGGCACTATAATTTCTACGTCAGCGGCAGTCACCACGACGACTACCACAAGTGACAGTCCGACATCAGCTGGGGCGTTCTATATCGCCGCTGAGACGGGAGCCACACACCGCAGGCTCAAGCGGCAAATAGAATATCTTGCGCTGAACCCACAGACTGGTTTGAGCAGTCTTGTCGACTCCGTAGCCGAAGCAAGCACCTTCACTATTGCTGATGACGATTCGTTGATGGTGGTTCTAAATGATGGCACGCCTGTTTGGGTTGGTCTTACATTCAGCACGCCCACTCAACTCGTGATGGAGACTGAGGCACCAGAGCCTCCTGTCACTGCATCCATTGACAGCAACAGTGTCTTGACAATCTCATCGGTGGTGGCCGAGTGCATCTTGAACGGTGGCCTGGTTGTTTCCACTGATGGGTCGCTTCCCAGCGGCTGCGTCCAAGTCACGTTGAAAGCAGTTTCTGGAGCCGTGGTTGTTCCAGCTGGTTCGAGCACTACCACAAGCACGCCAACATTCTCATCAACAGCGCCATTTGCGCCGGTCGTCACGACTTCTGGTGTGACAACGGCGGTATCCGATAGTCCTTCGAGCACCAGCACAACTTCGTCTACATTTTCGTCAACAGCACCATTCGCGCCAGACTTTACGACGCCTGGCGTGACGTCGACGTCGTCCGATAGTACTTCAAGCACGACCACGACCTCAGCCACCTCGACGACTACGACGCCTGCTTGCACGCCGTCTTCGATCGGAGACGTCACCGCTCTTTACAACACAAGCCAGACATTCCGCAACGTTTACACAGGGTGCGGCGAGTCGTTGGAAGGAGCGACGACCGGTGGTCTACAGTATCTCCCCAAGCAGTTCGCGGTCAATTGGCAAGCGTCGGATAACTGGGAGGGTTACACATTCGACGAAGCGGTAAGCCGATGTGCGCAGTTCGCTGTCGACAATAATGCCACAGCGGTTGAATTCTACGTCGACGTGGATCAGAACTGGCTCTGTGTTGGTGTCAACAATGTGGCTTTCAACGCCACCTCCTTCTATCCCGACTCAAACGTGGTCAACGTGTGGGGCTTGGCCTGGGAAAACCCATGCCAGAACACTCCGCTTGACGATCTCGTCGCATCGGATGGAACTGTCTTCTCTGAATTCTACACCGGCTGCAGCGCGTCGTTCCAGGGATATACACCCGGTGGACTGCAATACCTCGACCGCGTCGTGTCAGTGAACTGGCCAGCGCCTGACTACAGCGGGTGGACCTTTGACGCCGCGGTCCAAAACTGCGCCGACACGACCATTTCGCAAAACGGCACCATGTTCGAGTTCTACATCGGCTCGGACGATTCGTGGTACTGTATCGCAGTGAACGACCTGCCCGCCACGGCCGACAGCTTCTATCCCGACGCGACAATCGGCCAGGTCTGGGGTTTCGCCGTCTCGGGATCCACGGCGGTCTGCGAACCTTCGCAACTCGCAGGGTCAATCCAACTGGCCAACGGGACCACCTTTGATGAATTCTACGATGCGTGCCATGTCTCGCTCGAAGGCGACACCGCCGGCGGAATAGGCTACATGACGCACGTGTTTGGCTTCAACAATCCCCCCGGCGATGATGGAAGTTATGGAGGATGGACCCTGCAGACTTCTTCGCAGAAATGTATCACGGACGCAGCGGCCGCGGGGGCGACGTTGGTCGAATTCTACGAGAGTGCCGACGAGGAACCCACCTGGTACTGCTTCGGCTTCAACGACGTGCCGGCACAGGAGGATTCCTTCTACGGTGACGGCACTGTGGGACGTCTGTGGGCTTTCAAGCTTGACGAGTCGACCCTGCCGGAAGTCGACTAGACGTTTTCAAGTGTCAATTGCGGGTTGGAGAGGACACATGCTTCTCTTTTTTTTTGGATAATTAGTTTTGCTGTAGCAGTCTCTGAGCAAGCACCCGCTCTCCATGCCATTCATGTCAGGATAGATGTTATTTTCATATGTAATAGGTAAATTTTCAAACATGTGCCGACAGAACACAAGCCAATGTCAAACTTCCCAGGTTCCCCAAGAGCGCATAACTACCGTTAATTCATGGAATTCTTGACGCCATAGACACGCTTCATGTATATATATAAACGATATAAACGCCACGATGGGGCTTTGCTTCGTTCTCCAGACAAAGCAATTCTCCCCTGCTCTGGTCATGAGTCGGAATGAGACACTCAAAAGGGCATGAATGCATCATCACCTGTCCACATTATATGCCTAGCTGCTCCTTCACTCGCTCTCTCGGGTACTTAACTTTACTTGTTCGCTTGATCACTGGCTCGCTTGTTCGCAGTGTAGGGGTATTATGATAAACACAGGTCCGACCGAGGGGGTATTTATTTTTGAGTCCTCATCCTATACACCAGCGCTGGGTCTCAGGGAGGCTGACGGCCTCGACCGGGTCTGGGTCTCCGTCAATACCCAGTAGAATTTTGAGGGAGAGCGGGTCTTTGGCGCCCCATCGATCCACGGACACTCTTGCGACGAGACGCGAGAAGAGCACGCCGCCGTCGCCGCCGTCGCCGCCGCCGCTTCCGTCCCGGTAGATGGAGACCAAGACGCCGTAGTACAGGGTCCGGTCCAGGGCGACCGTGGGGCGCTGGGGCAGAACGATCGCCAGGTCTGGAATGGCGCTGAGATTGTCGACAAGGTCGAGAAAAGGCGTGGCGACCGTGTTCTTGCCCATGACGCGGAACGTGTACCATACTGTATCAGAGGCGTCTTGGAATAAGACCCGGTCGCCAGCGACGCGCGAGCAAGTTTTGGACAGAGAGCCCAGCTTGAAGCCTGGGAACTGTACATGCAGGCCAGTTTCGTCGGCCTGCGCCAGCAGAGAGGTGGTCTGCAGCTCGAAGCGACTGCCGCCGCCGCCCCGGTCAGGGTTCTGCTGGTAGGCCGGTAAGAGGCCCGCGCGGCTAAAGACAAAAGTCCGAGGCGCCCAACGGATGCCGTCCGTGTCCATTTTAGCGCCCGAGAAAAACAGCGACACGGCCGGGAAGAATCGCTGCATGAGGATGAACCGCCGCAGGCGATCTTGGTCCGGGGCGGTCAGGATGTCTTGCACCTTGAGCTCCATGATCCCAGCCAAGCAGACGGCCTCGTCTGACTTCCAGCTCGTAGAGCGCCAGTTGACGGCCTGGAGGATGTATGAGGCTCGACCCTCGGTCGTCGAGGATTTGAAAGCGTACAGCTCGCGGAGGTACGCCAATCCTTCATAAGCGATCTGTGCTGCGGCACTCCAGTCAGTCTCGGGAAGCCTGTCGCGAGCAGCGGTATCGCTGCGTGCCACCAGCTCTTTCCCATCCAGGGCGCAGTCTTGGAATTGGAAATGGAGTTGCCTAGCAAACACCGCCTCTTGAAGCGTCCACAGCCGTGACCACCAGACACTGTAGGAGATCCTCATGGCGATTTCTTCCAGAGACGCGCCAGCGGTTGTCGATCTCAGAAGCTCCACATCGACGACGAGCACTTTGGCAGCCTGCTCGTAGATTTTCCCCATGGCGACTATAGCGCGCCTCCTGGTCGCGGTGTTTTCTCGCTGCACGGGGACACAGAGCGTATCTATCCAGAATGGGATGTTGTCACCAGCAAGGCCATGGTTGTAGAGGTTGTTAACGCGGTTCTGCAACCGGGTCAGCTGACAGAGAGGCATCGAGTTTGCATGAAGATTGCCAAACCCGTTGGCCCAGACGTGCGAGATGCAGACATATTCGCTGTCTGTGATCACATCTAGTCCGAAATGCTGCCCGCCGGAAGTGGAATCAGAAAGCCTCAGGAGCGGCGTTCTACCACTGTTGATTAAAGAGCACACTTGGGCCACGTCGACTTCCAGATGTGCGCAGTCGCAGTCGGGGTCGGTGTGCTGACTTTTGTATGTCGCATGATCGACCTGTAGTGCCAGGCATTCCGTGATCAGGCAATCCGAATGATCTCGTGGAACGAGTCGTGGACCGAGCGAGATAGCGAAATACATTCCCAGACACGACTGACCTTGGTGGTGTCTGGCAACATCTCTTCTGCACCACCCTCGCTGGTAGAGCTGATTATCGATGATTTCGCGGGAACCTTGAAAGTAGGTCAGATGAGGCTCAAAGTCACTTTGCGCCAGTATTGCCCGTTTGGCGCAGATCAGTGTCCTGTGAAGGATGTTGATCGAGAGTATGACCGTGTCTGATAGTGGAGTCTTCCACCCGAGATACAGGCTAAGCGCGTCTGTCACTGCTTTGGCTGACCTGTCGGTGGCAGCCGTACGAGCTGATACCTCATGAATGGGCCTCTTTTTGACCGTCTCTTCCCATTGAGATATGAGGGGACCGAGATGTCCTGAATGCACCACTCGGTTTCCTAGATTGGTCGTTCGAACGAAATCGGAGGTCTGGACTGGTATCCCCGTCACACGGTGTATCATGCCAAAATAGAGCCAGGCCTGTAGTAATGAAGCTGCCTGCTCTGCGGTATTGCGCCCTCGATTGGTGAAGTCTCCGTCTAAGAATGAACCAAGATCCCAGCCTGCTCGTACAGGATACTCTGTCCAGCTTTGGTTGTCGTAGATGAAAGGGCAGTCTTGGTCAAACAGATACGGAATCTCAATGTGGGCAAATTCGAATGATGCAGTTGGCAAATGGTCCATCGGTCGCGGGCTGGAGAGCGAAAGTTCGGTTGCAGCACAGAGGGGCAGAGGTCGATCCAGATGGTCAAGCCGCCAAGATCCACCCCTTTTGGCCCCCAAGTGTTGTCGCGGATAGTGCTATGCGGCCTGGTCGCTAGAAAGAACTGCTGATGACGGACTGGAAGATATCGTGGTATGATGGAGTATAGCCGGTATGGTGGTAGGTAAAGGTAGTGGTGTCAGACATTGGTATTTATAGGATAGGCTTGCTCTTTCACGCTTTGCTTCCTCAACTGCGCCAAATGTGAAGCAGCAGGTGTCGGTCTCGATCACGTGCTTGTCTCATACTTCGTCTTTGACCTTAACAACTCACCATGCCGCCAAAACATCCAAGGCATCGGCGCCATTATCAAGGTACAAAAGGCCAGGATTGAAGTCGCCCATCCCACGCCGAGTGCCTTGTAGAACTTGAGAGCAAAGAGAGGAAATGCAGCTGATAGACCATATCTCGACAGCATGGCAGCACCAGAAGCTGACGCACCGTAAAGCGGCCCGTAGGCATCGACCATGAACAAGTTCATAGACGCATACACCATGACAGTAGCGGTGAATGCCAAACCCTGGAATATGATCGGCACGATCCAATGGACTTCAGCGTGTGCTGTCCATGCAAATATCAACAGGCAGCCAGGAATGAAGAAGGATGCAATCATGCTTGGATAAAGGCGATGTTCCGGGGAAAATCGCTCGTCACCCCCCGAGTTTTCAGCGCGAAACTGTTTCAGGCGCGGTTGGTAGATGTACGCGTCGACCAAAACTAGCGGACACGGTGCAAGAGCAGTACCTGCTATAAGGCCGAGAAATGACAAGGACTGGCCTGTGAGCGAAAAGTCGTAGTAGCGCTGGAACACCCAAGGTGAGGCGACGACGAAGGCGTACATCAAGCCGAAGATGAAACCATTATATAGACATACAATGGTGACGATCGGCTCGGTAACCAGCATGTGGATGGGGCGGAGAAACAGGGTTGTCAAGAAGTACCTGATTGAGGCAAGAATCGACCGGCGGTGTTGAGGTGGACCTTGAATATTGAGCCTCTTCGCTCGCCGTTGAAGAATGGTCTTTTTGTAGGTTTCTCTGGTGAATATAGTCGGGATGTAAAACGCGACGATGAAGAAGAGAGTGACCCATTGTGTCCAGCGCCAGCCTTTGGTCTCGACAACGAAACCACCAAGAAGAGGCCTATGCAGAGGTTAGTCACAATACGTACACCAAACAGCTATGGGCATACCCAATGACCGCCCCACAGAACGGTATAGAATAGTAGAATGCCAACGAGACGGCTCTATACCGTCCAGCAGTATAGTCGACGATGGTGGCGGAGGCATTACTGATAGCCGGTGAGGCAGACACCCCGGCAAAGAATCTACAAACAATCAATGATGCAGGCCCTTGTGAAAAGCCCGCTCCTAGAGTGAAGAGAGCGAATATAGGGGTGGTGGTCAAGAAGACCGCTTTGCGACCGAACGTCTCGCTCAAAGGAGCTCCGATGGTAGGTCCGAAAGCCAGACCGAAAGTGTAGATGGATAGTGGAAGGATGGCGACCTCGTCCGACACGCCAAATTGCCTCGAGACCACCTCGTGGGCTGGACTGTAGAGCGAAGCTGCCAGAGTGCTCACAAAGGCGAGAAGAGTGACTGCCAGCGTCGAGGATATTCGGCGGAGCAGAGAGAAATTTCGAGGGTTGTCCGGGTCATTAGGCCCATCCCAGTCTGTTGCCGTGCGAGTGCGAGTGCGCTGTAGGACGCCTCTGTCGTCAACTCCAAGCTGTTCCTGCTTCGCCATACTTCCATCAGATTTTGGCGAAAAACTTGCTGCTCCATATTATGAACGATTGACGAAAAGAAGTGAACGATCTCCAAAAGAAAAGGATATCGGAGAATACCCCGAGCTCTCCTTCTTGCAGCGATCCTTGATAACCTTTCCCCGCAGATCAGGCGGATAAATCGGCTTCACACCTATCTATGACGATCAACCGGATACACTCCGACAAGCATCTGGCCAGCTAAGTGTGAAAATAGCATGAAGAGGACATGAGCCGGCTGAAGCTGCGCCCAGAAGCGAATAGACATTGGTGAATCATTGAACAGTTCATGATGTGAAGTGTACAGGATGAGAGAGGCTCTGCCTCGTACTCGGTAGACAAATCACTTGAAGGTGAAAAAGGCTCGCTCCCGGCAGTTCTTCGGGGCTTTGCACGCGGTCAAAAATCAATTAAACGCGTCGAGAGCGCGTCGACGCGTCCAACTGCAATTCTGCCACTGACATTGCCCCCTCTCTCCCTCCCCCCTGTGCTCTGTGAGAATCAAAGCGCTTCGTCTTTTCGGACCTCATCAACACCCATAATAGTATCGACAGAGATCCCTCCAACATGGCCCTCGACTCCCGCTCTGCCTACTCACTCTCCGTCCTCCCTGCACACAATGACCAACAGGGCGAACCGCGCAGCGAACTGCAACAAAAGCTCAGGGATTTCATCCTCGCATTCCAACTCGACGGCGTCTACATCTACCGGGACCAGCTGCGACAAAACGCCCTGGTAAAGCAGTATTACTGCGACGTCGACCTTGCCCACCTGATCTCCTACAATGAAGAGCTTGCACACCGGCTCACGAGGGAGCCCGCGGATGTGATACCGCTGTTCGAAGCGGCCTTGAAACAATGTACACAGCGGATCGTGTTCCCGCACGACCGCGACGTCCAGCTCCCACAACATCAGCTCCTGCTGCACTCGAGCGTCGCGCACATCTCGATCCGCGATCTGACGGCCGCGAACGTCTCGCACCTCGTCCGCATCCCGGGCATCATCATTGGCGCATCCACGCTATCCTCAAAGGCCACGCTTGTGACGATCCAATGCCGCGGCTGCGAACACACGCAGCAGCTCCATGTCGAGGGTGGCTTCTCAGGCATCACTCTCCCGCGCCAGTGCGCCCGGACAAAGGTTCCCGGCCAGGAGTCGGGAGACCCGTGTCCCTTGGACCCCTATTTTGTGGTCCACGAATCCTCACAATTTATCGACCAGCAGATCATAAAGTTACAGGAAGCGCCGGATCAAGTGCCCGTGGGAGAATTGCCACGCCATATCGCCGTCTCCGCGGACCGGTACCTGACGAATCGAGTCGTGCCGGGGTCGAGATGTACAGTGATGGGCGTGTTTTCAATCTATCAACAGAATAAAGGGACAAAGAAGGATAGTGCGGTTGCATTGAGACAGCCGTACTTGCGAGCAGTGGGCATTCAAACTGACGTGGACCACTCCGCCACAGGAGCCTCATTTTCAGACGAGGAAGTGCAAGAGTTCGAGGAAATGTCGAGACTACCCGATCTCTACGAGCGATTCGCGCGCTGTATTGCTCCTTCGATCTATGGGAACATGGACATCAAGAAAGCCATAGCATGTCTGTTGATGGGCGGCTCGAAAAAGATTCTCCCCGACGGCATGAAACTGAGAGGCGACATCAATGTCCTCCTTCTGGGCGACCCAGGTACGGCCAAGTCTCAACTTCTGAAATTTGTCGAAAAGGTGTCACCCATAGCCATTTACACTTCTGGAAAGGGCTCGTCGGCAGCTGGTCTGACCGCCTCGGTCCAACGAGACACACAAACCCGAGAATTTTACCTGGAAGGGGGAGCCATGGTCCTTGCGGATGGTGGCGTGGTCTGTATCGACGAGTTTGACAAGATGCGTGACGAAGATCGGGTGGCAATCCACGAGGCAATGGAACAGCAAACAATCTCCATCGCGAAGGCGGGCATCACCACCATCCTCAACGCCCGGACATCCGTCCTTGCGGCTGCAAATCCCATCTTTGGGCGCTACGACGACCTCAAATCTCCAGGAGAGAACATTGACTTCCAAACCACCATTTTGTCTCGTTTCGACATGATCTTCATCGTGAGAGATGACCACGATAGAACCCGCGATGAAAATATTGCAAAGCACGTCATGGGCATCCACATGGGCAACCAGGGCGTCGAAGAGCAGGCCGAAGTCGAAATTCCCGTGGAGAAGATGAAGCGTTACATCAGCTTCTGCAAGTCGTAAGTGGCACTTGTTGGTCTGTGTGTACAGATGAATAACCTACTGACAACCATTTTCAGCCGTTGTGCCCCTAGATTGTCGCCGGGCGCGGCAGAAAAGCTCTCGTCGCATTTCGTGTCGATACGGGCTCGTGTAGCTCAAGCTGAGGCCAACAGCAATGTCCGATCTTCCATTCCTATCACAGTCCGTCAACTTGAGGCCATCATCCGCATCACAGAATCACTCGCGAAGCTCACATTATCAGCCGTGGCAGAGGAACACCACGTCGACGAGGCTATCCGTCTCTTCCTCGCCAGCACCATGGACGCAGTGTCTCAGGGAGAAGGCGCCGGTGGAATGAGCGGCAATAGGGAGTTGATGGAGGAAGTGAGCAAGGTGGAAGAAGAGCTTCGACGGCGGCTGCCGATCGGTTGGAGCACGAGTCTCGCGACCCTGAAGCGGGAATTCGTTCAAGGGCGAGGATACAGTGAAGCTGCGTTGGCCCGCGCGCTGCATGTTCTGCAAAGAAGAGAGACGGTACGGCTGAGAAATGGTGGAAGTCAGGTATATCGAAGTGGAGTCTGATTGAGACAACCTGGAGTCAGGGTTTACGAAGTGTCACGAGTACGTCCTAGTGCAGCCACCGTTTATGGCTTTGTTGTAAAGACCTGCTGTCCTATTTGCGGGAACGATTGAACTTTGAGATATAACGTAATGGATACTGACCCGTTTGCACACCGAGTCATGCATGTAGTCGCTTTCCAAGCGCATGATGGCGCCGGACTAGTTGAGGCGTCAGCCGAAGAAGAAGCATCGTGCATCAGAAAATTTCCAATTCGAGTATTTTTCACGTCTCTGCTGGGTGTCTGCCATTCGGGAATGGATCGATCGTGTCCCAGCTCGGTTACACGCAAGCCGATCGGCCTGACGACTTTAGATCCTCCTGTTCACAGGCCCGACCCCCCATACCGACAACGTCAGATCGGTGGGGTGACACGGCAACAAAGGCCAAGGGAGGAAGGAGGGCCGTTTCCACGACGAAAGTGCTGAGCAGAGATAGCCACCAGCCTCAGGAGATCGGATCTATGGTCGTAGAAAGTTAGCCTCATGAATCGAGGGCAGTGGGCCGGGCGCTGTCATGGGGCCGTCACAAAGTTGGTGTGCAAGCTCCTCCGTACAATTGTATCTGGTAACGCGATCAATATGGATTGCCATATCTGAGAGATGTCGTGTGGCGGCTTGGTGGCTAGAGAAGCTGTGCCTTGCTTCTTCGTCCCATAGAGCGCCCAGGGACAGAGCATGCAGTCCAGGGAATATGGTGCCTCTGAGACGTACCCTTGCTCCTCGTCGATTGGAGGGGGTTAGCATGTTGTCAAGCAGCCCCGCCGTACGCGAACACAATAATTCTTAAAAGTCAGATGGAAGTGCATGACCCAAACGCGCAGCAAGCCTGTGCGTCCCAAGATCCAGATGTGCGGCACCAGGGTGAGACACCAACACACTTTAGCGTTGGCGAGTGATCCTGTCAGGGCAATTAGCCGGAGAGGGTATGAAGTCTGCAGGGCTTTGCTCTTGGACACGGCATTCCGTCGGCATGACAAGTCACAAACAGTCTGCCGGTAGTAAATGCTATGGCAGGGGCAGGATTTGTGGCGCACATAATGACATTTCGGATCGTTGACCCTGCCAGTTGACAGTCATGATGAAAGCCACCTCGAGTTTGGACTTTAACAACAGGCTCTCAAGGCGACAGAAGCTAGGGATGCGGATTCTTTCGTACCGGAATAGTGCATAGGAGGAAGTTTGTCTCTATTCGCAGAGAGCGCTGCGAGCGGATTTTAGACCAGCCATGTATGCACGGTTAGAGGGGAGTGATGTCGATGGTGCATATTCCGACGGTTTGAACGGCGAGAACGGGTGCGAGTCTGCAGGGGATAGCTCTAACAGGGAGGGTCTCACAGCTGCAAGGGATGGTCGAAGATTTGAAATACCAGCAACTTCGTTGGAGTCAGTTGCTCGATGCTCAAGGAGTCAAGAGAAGCGAATGGACGTGCGGATTCCGATCTCCGTATTCCCAGGTCCAAGGGTCTGGCGCTCAAGGCTGCGACTCCTGCCTGATGTGTCCTCTTACAAACGAGGTTGACGATCGGCCCATGCAACAGCCTGATAGCGCAGTCGATCCATCATGCAGAACTGCAAACATCGGGGGAAAGGAGGGCCATCTAAAAACACAGAATCCCAAGAATTGACGTAAGTGAGCGCATCGACAATCGACTAGGGCCACCTGAGATGGGAGTGCTGTACGTAGTGCAGCTGATGGAGCGCAGTGAACAGAGGACGAGCAGGGTGTTTGGAGATGGTCGTGGGTGGAGGTGCAGGTGGTTTACCGGCTGCTTGCCAAGCAAAGGTGCAAACCAGGGCTAGTAGCATAACAAGGTGCCAAGGGTGGCCATCGGAGGCCCATGGCACCTTTATGGTGGGTGGGGGTCCGGGTTTGTTAAGGGGGGGGCCCCGGGAGCGTCAATTAGCAGGCAAACTCTAAGTCCGGAAACCCTAAGCAAGCCCTAAGCAAGCCCTAAGCAAGCCCTAAGCAAGCCCAAGCAAGCCCAAGCAAGCCCTAAGTCGTGGTACGCGTAGCGTGACCACTCCCGGCATGGGCCCACCCAAGGCCCATACTTCGCTAGGGGACTTCGCTAGCCAAAACTGCTGCATTGCGACCTGCACGGGACTGGTGCTGTTCATGTCTGCGACGCCCGATTCGTAAAGTGGTTGAAGCGGTTAGAAATGTTTTTCTCGGATTCACCTCAACTGTCTCGTAAAGCGCACACCAAAGTCCCTTCCGTTGATACCATCCTCTCTTGTCTCTCCTTGTCTCGTACTGATCAGGGCCCTCTTTTTGTCTTTTGGCTAAGTTTACCGACCTCAAATAGGAAGACGATGCATCAACTGCCTAGGTAGGTACAGGATGGCCCTGATACACACGACGGACCCATTTCCTCTCCTCAACTAGCTTTTCGTATTGGGGGTTGCCTCAATTCCGTGGGGTTTGCGCGGTCCCGCTGTAGGATTGCTTCCCTTGTCTCCTCCCACGCCTTCTGCCGTCTGAGCTGCGATGTGGTTTAGCGGGATGCTGAGTTGCGTGTATGGCTTCAAGTTCGCAAAGAATGATCACTGGCACTCGGGAAATACTATGTCGTTGCTGATTGCAAACATGCGGTACACCCCTCGTCAAGTACACCGCTCTGCATTGTCCTTTGGTTCTTGATTCGCTCTTCCATCCTATCTCCATCGCCTCTCAGCCCATGTTCTCTCGCCGGACAACCCTGATTGCCTTCATGATGCCACCATTGGAGCTGGCAGCACAATGATAGACGGCTGCATGGCAGGTTACACCAGATCTCTGCTCCCTCGGGCGCATTCTGTGTAGCAGACCAACCCGTCAAGATCCCTGTATCCGGGCCGATCAGGTCCCAGAACCCCAGGCCTGGCTGCAAGTCAATGGGAATCGGCTTCGGAGGCCAATCATGGAAAAACCGCATTGACTTCCGAAACAACCAGGGACCAGCCATATCCTATAGTCCGTCTTCGAATCATGCTCGCAAAGCATTGCCGGAATGTGATGGTGTGTGAATACATGTCTAGGGCAGATGCATAACCCTTGCTGGACGAGGCCACGACTAATATCCCATGGCGGGAAGGGATTCTCTTGTAACGGTCCCTTTTCCACTCACAAACTACCCAGATCAGCAACCGCTCTGTCATTGCTGCTCCGAGGCTTCAGCACAGAGCTGTTATTGCGTTGGCGATATTGACATCATGCTTCGCGGCCTCAACACAGTTTCAATCTGACGATTAGCCGAATTGCAGCTTCAGCCCATCACAATCTATCAATAGCCGAAAATCTCCAGCAGATCGAGGACCAGGAGAAAATGTGGCGCTCGCCCTTGTCTCCTGTCTTGTTCATCACCCTCCCTCTCTCGCGTCCCATTCGCTCCCTCTTTTTGAACCTAGCCTGGCCCAACCCCGGTGGTCACTGGAACAACGAGAAATATCTGCTGGTTGAGCGTCTTCTCAATCCTCCGGTGTTGATGTTCCATTTCGAGTAGCCTCCGGTTTGCCCATGCCCCTCCCCCCTTGACGGAGCGATATCCCTGTTGGCAAGTGAAGATTGATAGGTCGCATTCGAATCGCCGGGCATAGTCATCCGAACGCGGCTCCGTGTTCTGGCCCTCAGTCTTGTGCCCTCCATTCCGCCCTCGAATGCACTGGGACAGACAGCAATAGCTGAACATGCTGGACCTATTTCTCCATCGGGCTTCTGGTGGATTGCCAATGGCGGTCGTATCAAGAACCCGATTGCGTCTATCTCTCTTTTGAAGCACACCACAAGCAGTACCATCCTCCAGGCGCCGAAGCATTCCATGTACATGCATGGTGCCTGGAGCCTTATTTCGGAGCATACAAAAGGTCACCAATGTCTCGAGAGAAGTTTTCACCTCCTCCTGCCGGGTCTGCCCTGCACATCCTTGAGACTGGTCTTATTACCTCTGTATCAATAGTGATTCAAACCCTCAAATTGCACTTTGCTAGCTCTCTACCAGTAAGACCCTTGCATCATCGCCAGCACTGTCCACTGATATACCCCCCAGACACATTCGGCCTGATTCAGAGCTCAAATCAAGACTTGGACGTCGTGTTCACGAAAGACCTGTTTGGTACCAGGGTCGTCTTTGAAACGTCGGTCTTGTAAGCCATCCCGGGATATGACAATGGAACTCGCTGTTGCACCGCCGTCACGAGTCGCAGCAGGTGTCACACTTAGGACTCCTCTCGTGGTCACATTCTCGGGACGACCACCAAGGGCCGACGATAAGCGTGAAGATGGAGAAGCCTTCACACTGCCCGATCTCAGCGGGATATGGGTCTTCCTATCTCTTACAACTCCGGACATGCAAGAAAGTCTAGCTCCTCCTCGGGAAGATCTCCTGTGTGGAAGCAGAGCGGATTCTGTCCATGCTATCTGCGAGGAACAGGAGGTCGAGCGGCCGACGGTCGCGTATGCAACGTTTCCAGGGCTCAAGATCACCCAACCTGGCAGTTACCGCATCAAAGTCAACATCATCGATATGAATGCGTACGGTTCGGCACCCAGGATAGAGATCATGAGTTGCTAATGACCAGTTAGGGCATTCAGGGCCGACAGTAGCTTCGAAGGGGCAGCCACGGTTCTGCCGTGCCTTCATTCTCCGGTCTTCGAAGTGGTCGAAGCCAGTGACCATAGTGGCTCCGGTATGCTCATTGAGGCTCTTGATAACCACTGTGCTAACAAAGCCAGGACCACAACTCGCGGAGACGGTCAGCCGGTTGAGGTCAATTGGTGTCAACTTTGGAGGCGAAGAGGATCACTGAGCCTTGGAGGCATTTTAGGGATATGGGTCCACAGCACCCCTGTGCACAAGGAGGAACAATCGTCATTTACTATGGCAATGGCAGGCCTTCTGTATCTGAGAAGTCTGTTTTCAACATGTCGTTGCCGCATGGGAATATGGAGGTGGCACGGGACGATTGGTTTGTCAGGGAGCAGACGAAAAGGGAAACTTGTCCTGCTGTTCTGCTTGATATTGCAATTTGCTTTGGTATATTTGGTCAATGTATTCTCGCTCTTTTCAAGTCGTATTGCAATTGACAACCTGCTCTTCAGGATGCTCATGCTTGTGGTCAACAGCCCCAGCACAACATATCTCGCTTCTCTTTGATGTCTGGGTTGCCTCGTAGTCGACCTGGCGCTATTCTTTTTGGGATTTCTGCAGATGGCTCGAGTACTAGGTTCTGTTGGCCCGTGTTTGACGTACAACATGACCTACAGCTCCGACAGTCCGGGTTATCATTGGCTCGATTCATTATGTGCAACAGAGTGGGAGAAAGACGGCCCATGCGACTCGCGAGCCATGTCAGAAGCGACTGTCAACCACTGTTGTCTGGTCGGGTATTGACAGAATAGGGTTAGCGTTAGTCCAGTTCACGTGAGCGAGCCGCCCCTCTGATTGGTGCTCGAGGGCGTTGTAGCTGCTCGTCAAAGTTGCCCTTCTCGGACCGTGTCTCGTGTGTCTTTGTCCCGCCCTGCGCCCCCCGACGCGATGCGAGTTTCAGCCCCAACACGCCTCGACCTTTTCGCCCGCTCTCCCTTCCTGCGACCGACATCTGTACCGAGTATGCAGGGACTTGTCGCCCACTCCTTCGAATCCAGCTCTCTGACTATTGCCGCCGGAGCTGTTACTGCTGACAACTAGCGGCCAACACCTATCGAAACCCCCCGTGAAAAGACTATGCTGACCTCGCGAGGTCCTCCTCTTCCATTCACATTCACACCCTCACATTTACGGACTCCGAGCCTGATAACATTAACATGACCAGCTTCACCCAAGGAAGCAACAATCGCCTCCTTCCCAACCTCTCATGATCTGGCTAGTGAGGAGACTGCCCGCCCTTGGGTAAAAGACTCAGGAACACACATCATGGCGGACCCTCAACCTGCGCCCTCGACCTCCTCTCGTCCCCTTCCCCACCACCTCCATCTACAAGAAACACGCGAGAATGGATCCGCCGAGAGATCGTCTTCCTCCTCCGAAGTCCATACCTGGGCTGACGACCGTATCTTGTTGACACCACCCCTCCCAACTTCAGGAATCAATCCATTGGACCAGGCGCTCTATAAAGCCAGTAATGGACGGAGTTTTGTGGCCAATGCAAATCAGCAAGCAGTCTCTCAAAATGCACAACTCAACATGTCGCCGCCCGATTCGTTGCGCATTCACCATGATGCAGCGCATCTCTTGAGTGGCCTTCATATACGAACGGATGTTGGGGGTCCCAAACGTAGCAGCTCAACCCAGTCGATGGATTCCGAGTCCAGATTGCGATCCAGTGCCTCTGCCGCAAGTATACCGCGTCGAGTCCCTAGTATCCGCGCCCACCTTCACTCTTCCGCCGGTTCTGTCTCCCCCGGTACAGTCATTTCGTCGCCCCAGATAGCCGCTATGCTGGACATTACTCCGTTGCCTTCGCCGACCATGGCGGCCTTTGAGTCGTGGAAGGCTCTTTCGTTGGCAAGGACCCGGTCCCGTGGATCCTCTATCTCTTCCGCCAAAGCTGAAGCATTGCCCCCTCCCGTCGTGCCATCACCCACAAGTCCTCGCCGAATCAAAGGCTATCCAGGTTTGAGATCTTCTCCTCCCTCACGTCCCGGGACATCCGATGGGGCTGCCGAACACAACCGCACTAGAAGTGTCAGTGACTATGTACCCGACCCTGTGGCCGTGCCAAAAGTCCGAAACATTGCTGTGTCAAGCACAGGAGCGCCGCTTGAAATCACAGAGTCGCCGACGTCTATGCACCGGGAGGAATATCTCGGTCCACAAAGGAGACTGAGCAAGTCCATTACCCGTCCTCCTACACCGCCACAGCCGACAATCAACATAGAAAGGAGTCATGAAGACGAGCCCGCTGCCAAACGGCCGAAACTCGAAGTCTTCAATGCGCGGAGCATTTCCAGTGGAGAACCCAGATCCTACGAGGCAATCCGGGTGCTCGGGCAGGGGACCTTCAGCAAGGTCTACCTGGCCGTGCGGCAAGTCGACAATGATCGAAAAGACAATGTCGACTATCGCCAAGACAGTATCAATATGGCAGGTGTCCGAGCTCGATCAAGACGACTTGTGGCAGTCAAAGTCGTAGAGCATGGTCCAGCAGGCGGGGCAGACGCAGAGAGGATCGAGGTTGGGCTCAAACGGGAGGTGGATTTGTTAAAAGCCATCCAACATCCGTCGCTCGTTCATCTGAAAGCATTTGGCAACGATGACAACGCCCGTGCTCTGCTGGTCATGAATTACTGCCCCGGAGGAGACTTGTTTGAGGTCGCCTCCAAACACCGCGAGGTCCTCACTCCACCGTTGGTCCGAAGGATATTCTCCGAGCTGGTTTCGGCGGTGCGATATCTCCATCAAAAGTATATTGTCCATCGGGACATTAAGCTGGAGAGTAAGTCTAGGGAAAGACGTCAGCCTCGATTCTGTGCTAACTTGATGCAGATGTGCTTCTTAACATTCCGGTGCGTGTCCACCCGGATGTATCCAACTGGCAAACCCTCGACCGCGCGGTTGTAACACTCACTGACCTGGGGCTCTCACGCCGCATTCCTGAACCACCGGAGAGTCCCCTTCTCACCACACGCTGCGGAAGCGAAGATTACGCTGCGCCGGAAATATTGATGGGGCAACCCTACGACGGACGACAAACCGACGCGTGGGCTCTTGGAGTTTTACTCTATGCATTGATGGAGGGTCGATTGCCCTTTGATCCTCTCCCCGGGGCGCGCGGCGACCCAGCCGTCCTCCGTGCGAGGACACCACACAGGATAGCACGGTGTGAATGGGCGTGGTTCAAGTATGGCGATGAAGACGGAGAGTGGGATCCGGTCAAAGGCGCCGAGTTTGAAGGGGCACATGAATGTGTGGATGGCCTATTGAAGAGGAACACGAGGCGGCGAGCGTTGGCCGAGATCCGGGAATTGCCATGGGTCAAGGATGGGATCCAGGTTGACGGGGGTCTTCGATGGGTCGAAGAGGAATTGTAACAACACCCGGTTCACCTTTTCTTTTGGGTTCTTCTGGGATTCTTTGGTTGGCTTTTGCTATGAATGAAATGGAGGCACTTGACGCCGTTTGAATGAACACGGAAGCAGCAATGCGAGAAAAGAAACATAAATTTGGAATATTGGTTGGCTAGCGAGCTCTGTCTCTAGTGCTGATGGGAGTGTATATCAACATTTATAGACCATTGATAGGACGGACGTGGTAAGTGTTGATTCGATATCAGCGAATGGCAAGAAGATTCACTTTTTGTCGATGGCCAACCAAGAACGAGAGATTGTGCCGCCGGAAAAGGACTCTAAACGTCGGTTTTCCCCCGCACATTGGTGGGAGGATAGAGGTACTGTACTTCATACCTACGTAGACAGGAGACTTGGAAATTTCTCCCCATTCCTGGTGATCACACGCACAGTGGGGTGGTCCCTCCTCGTCACGAAACGCAGTACGGAAGGAAGGAAGAAAGAAAGCAGTGCAGGGCTGGAGAAGAGGAACTTGCATTGGTAATTGCAGGACATCTCAAGGAGAAAAGGGGAGATTCTCGTTCCATTGCAGGTGGCAAGGCTGCACCAACGGGATACACGTTGACGTGACGGAACGAAGGACAAAAAAGGCGGGTTTTTCTTTTCTGGTGGAATAGGGGGGAGAAAAGGTTTGAACAAATCAATCCCCTTCCTTGCAGGTTGTGTCTTTCTCGACACGACAAAAACCCATGGACTCAAACTCGACGACTTCCTCTGCCTGTCTGGCAAACGGACATTCCGCAGGTGCAGGTGCAGGTGGCTCCAACGGTGTCGGCAATGGGCCATCATCTTCATCCTCATCTCACGCCCAGACACAGGTGCCCAAGAGACTATACTCGGTGTCGGCGCCGCCGCCGTCGCTGGCCGCGTTCAGGGCATTATGCACCCAATCGACCAGCCGGGAGACGTATCCGCACGCGTCGGCCGTGGTATCCAACATCCCCATCTACGATCTGCCGGAGTATCCAGATCTGCCAGCCGCAGCAGATGGGGGTTTCGTGATGGACGAGTTGCAGGACGAATGGCACCACATCCTCCTCTCGGGCCCCGGGGTGGTGGTGCTCCGCAACTTCAGCCCAGACAGGGAGTTGCTGGAGCGCGTCAACGCCGTGTTCGCGGACATCATCGCCGGAGAAGCTGCGCGAGGAGGAGCTGGCCAGGGCCAGGGCCAGGGCGGTGACCACTTCGCCGCGCGAGGCAGCAACGCACGCATCTGGAACTCGTTCCAGAAACACGCCGAGCGAGACCCGGTCTCCTTTGCGCGGTACTACGCCAACCCGTACCTGGCCGCCATGTGCGCCGCGTGGCTGGGGCCGGGGTACCAAATCACGGCGCAGGTCAACGTCGTGCGGCCGGGAGGCAAGCCGCAGGTCCCGCACCGCGACTACCACCTGGGCTTCCAATCCGCGGAGTCCTGCGCGCTATACCCTGCAGCAACGCAAGTGGCGACACAGTTCTTGACACTCCAGGGCGCCATCGCGCACAGCGACATGCCGCGCGCCAGCGGGCCCACGCGCCTTTTGCCCTTCTCGCAGCAGTTCGCGCCGGGGTACATGGCGTACCGGCTGGCCGAGTTCCAGGCTTTCTTTGCCCAAAACTGGGTCACCGTCGACCTGGCCATGGGCGATGCGCTGTTCTTCAACCCGGCCCTGTTCCACGCCGCGGGCGAGAATACCACACGACACATCCACCGCTCCGCAAACCTGCTCCAGGTGAGCAGTGCGTTTGGCAGGACCATGGAGACGGTCGACACCCTGGCCGTCATCGCGAGTTGTTGGGATGAAGTCACGAGGTTGTACGTCGACGACGGAGCTGGAGCAGCAGCAGGAGGAGACAAGACACAGCTGCAGACTGGCACGAGAGTCGACGCCATTCTGAATGCAATCGGCAATGGCTATCCGTTCCCCACGAACCTCGATCGCAGGCCGCCTGCGCCGGGCGGGATGGCGCCGGAGAACGAGGTCGATGTCCTCCGCAAGGCGCTGCTGGAGGGGTGGGACGTGGAGCGGGTCGTGAGGGCTATCACGGCGATCCGGAGGGATTCGATGGCACAGATTAGACGACCCAAAGAACAAAGTAAGTAAATAGACGACCCAAAAAGACACAGAAGGAACAAAATATTGTAGTCAATCATCATTTCATCCCATTGATGAAAAATCCAAATCCTTTATTTTGTCGTTTCTCGACTCCCTCTACCTCGACCTCGACCTCTACCCTACCAGATGAGAACAGGTTTAATGGCGCTCCCATCCTCCATACCATGCAGGGCCTGCAACGCATCCTTTGCCGGGAACTGCTTGACGATCTTCTCAATGGGGAATTTCCCCTCGCGCCACCACTTGATCATCACCGGTACCCATTTCTGGCCCGTCGTGTTGCCCAGGTAGTGGCACTCGAACGACTTGTTGCCACCGAAGAACTCGGATAGCGGGATGGTGACTTGGGCATCCGGGCGAGGGGCCCCCAGCTGGATCAGTCTGCCGTGCGCGCCGAGAGCCTTGATGCATTCCTGGATGACGGGGATGGCCGCGGTGGTTTCGATGATGATCGAGATGCGTTGGCCGTCGACTAGTTTCTGGATCGCCTCGGCCATGCTGGTGGTGGCCGTGTCTATCGTTGACGTGTCCAGCACCTTTGTAGCACCCAGATCTTTGGCCGTTTCGAGCCGGTGCGCCACCCGGTCGACGGCGATGATCTCCTTGCAGCCCGCAATCTTGGCCGCCATGACTGCTCCCAGTCCGACGGCGCCAATGCCCGTGACCAGCACGATATCGCGTGGTTTGGCCGATACGCCGTTCACGATGGCCCCGGACCCGGTCATCAGGCCGCATCCCAGGGGCGCCAGCAGCTTCAAGTCTTCAGTGCTTTGCACAAGGTCTTTGACGTTGACCACGCTCCCCTCGTTGACAATGCTGGTCGCCGCAAAGCTCGATTGCCCAAAGAACTTTGCAGGCGCATCTTCTTTTTGGGATGTCTCGAAGATTCCCGGCTCGCCAAAGATGTTGAGCTGTCGCCACGACGAGCAGTAGGGTTGCTCGTCGCTCTTGCAGAGGTCGCATGTGTTGCAGTAGCTGTAGGACAGCAATACTGGATCCCCGACTTTAGCCACAGTCACCCCTGGTCCGACCTCTTCGACCACACCCGCACCTTCGTGACCCAGCACCTTGGGGAACTTCATCCCGATCAAATGTCCGGGGATCGAGGCGACCACGATGTCCGAGTGGCAGATGCCCGTCGCGACCATGCGGATCTTGAGCTCGTGTTCTTTGGGCGCCCGCAATACTTTGATCTTCTCGAACCGCCAGTCTGGCCCGGTAGATGCCACCGGGTACGAGACTAGTGCTGGGGTTTCCGTTGCCATGTTTTCTTGTCCTTCTATCCGTAGAGATCATGAATTGTCGGCGATCATCAGCGACCTGTGCTCGAGATATGAGGTACTGCTTGAATTTAAGTTCTCCTCCAAATCATACCTCGTGGCGCGAACCGAGTCGTATCTGCTTACTCGCCGCTTGAACCGGGTTTCCACAGCCAGCAGTCTCAGGTCTCTCCGCTGACCGGTTGCAGATGGACTCGACCTACCTCGGGTAGAACTTTCCCTTGGCCATGTGGCACACGGGTCAAGGTACCATTACCTCGTACAAGGTGGAGGTACCGCAGGGGGTCCAAGACTTGCACAAGTGCTGAATGTAACATTCCTTTGTGTCAGATCGAGAGCTTGGGCAATGTCCACAGCTATACTGACTATCGAAAGGATTGGTCGCCAGCATGCGCCTATTACGCAGTTGCTTTTTCTCTCTTCTGGAGGATCCCGGCTCTTCCCCGCGTCGTGACTCGGTCGATTCCCCAAGATTTTTCTGCGGAGCAAGCTGTGCTTCTTGGCCTGAGAGAGAAAGCGAGCATACCTTCTTAGTTAGATGTTGCATGTCAAGCTTCATGTGCAGGTCATGTCATTGTCACTTACGGATCCCTTTTCAGCTGCAGCAACTTCTCAAGTCTACCCATGTCTTTTTGTGCTGGGCCTGGTCTACCGTCGCACCAAAACCACCCCGTCAATCGAAGCTCTCGTGTAAGCACTGACGGAAAAATTGCCCAATTAGCCAGACTCGATAGAGACATTGCCAGTTTGGACGATCCTTCAGATACTAAGTAGGCCAGCCACAAAATTTCTGGAAGCGCTAACGAGCGTGCACCGGAGCACAGTCTACTAGCCCGATAGCTCGTGTCAGCATCGAACCGATCTTATTCTTTCCAGCTCGTTCATTTGGCTGATTTTGAACGCTGCCCAGGTTCTGTGGTTGGGTTTGCGCATTGAAGGCCTGATTGTCAGCTATCATTTGGCCCGAAGTGAAATAAACTGCTGGGCAGGGCTGCGACATCCCGTCTTGTTGATTTGCACACAGTGGGCAAATGCAAATGGTCATCTTAGGTAGGCGAGAGGGTCAGGTCAGATGTGGCGTGCGGTGATGATCCCCGTCCAAGCGGCCGTCTAAGCGCCTTTGAAAATTCAAGGCCCACTTCCTCCTCTTCTTCTAATCGCTCTCAAAACCGTAGTATCTATTGTCAAACCTGGAGCAGGAAACTGGGAGATAGGGGTTAACGCGGCTTCGATGAGTTTCTCGTCCCGCTGAAATGGCCACCGTGGCGTGGGTGAAGGTGCTGATTAGAGGACGGATGGGATCAGATCGAAGTACGAGGGTAGGAAAGGACTCGAGAGTCGAAGGTCGGTGTTGTCGTGCCTGGAACTTTCGTTAGCCTGCTGCATGAAAGACAAAAGACACGTCGACAGAGCATGCGCTTCTCGAAGATGGGTTTACTCGCTTGTGAGAAATGTTGTGCGAAGTCTGTCGCTGTTTGCTGGTAAGCAAGTCCCCAGCTTGGTGAGACGTTGGAAAGTGAGAAGATTGCAACCATTTCCTGATGAAGGATGCCAACAAGACGCACCTTCCGTGACCCTCTCTCAACCAGAATGTGCGCACTCTTCTTCAAAGCTTTGCGCAAGGCAAAGAAGCAATGATGAAAAGGGTTGGGAAGACAAAAATTGCGCTCGCGGAAGTCCCGAAGGTGCTTCCAGCACAGCCACCAACTCCGATGTGCCATGGAGTCGATGTCCGTACAACATCAAGAATGCTTGTGCTCAAGATGCTCGAACAAGGTAAGTATGAAGAAAGAAAAAGAAAAAGAAAGGAAGGAAGAAATTGTGAGAGGGAAGGAGATATTTATACGCCTGAGAAAGTGGTAGGTTGATCTGGCCTTGGCGGGCAGATTGTGATATCTGGTTGATCTGTCACTGGCAGAGTGATTGCTGATCGCCAAGGGACGGATGAGATGGGCGTAGTGATCTAGACGAGGCTGGTCTGTCACTCCCAGATCAGAATGTGGATTTGTCGAGTGATCGAACAGTGAAGAAAAGACGATGAATTGAGTTCCGCCCTCGATTGGCCCGGCACAAATTGCAGCCTCAGCCTCGTCTGATATTCAGATGCTGAGCCTCAGGTTCAACCCATGCAGCAACTGCTACAGCATAAGGGCTGACTGAGCCGTGGAGGACAACAAGTCTGTCTTGATCTGGTTGTTGGAACAGGTTACCTAGGTATTCATTGTCTCAATCATTGCTATGGATGCGATACTGTGTTCTGCCCACAACCTGGGATCTTTCACGGCCCGTTACAAATAGACATATCCTATGCCATGCCAATCAGACGTCCAATGCAATATTGTGTTCTGGCCACAACCTGGGATCTTTCACGGCGTACAAATAGACATATCCTGTGCCATGCCAATGGGACGTCCAACGCGATGCTGCCGTCGGCAGTCATTCGTAGCCCTGAAATTCTCCTTGCTACAAGGATGTGTCGTACTCTTCATCGAAATTGTCCAACATCTCGGCAATGTCGTCAATCTTGTCAAGATTCTCTGCTGTGAAAACCTCGTCCACGGCCCCCAGGTGGTCGAGCACCAATGGCGTGGTGACACCGTACATTAAAATTTCTCCACACCGAAGGATATCCTCACATTGGTGCTGCTGGTCCCGGAGGAAACAGAACGCTTCTTCAAACATGATCCTCAACGCGCGCAATCCCGCGACCCGGTTGCGGCCCAGGTAGTCGATCCTTTCCACCTCGACTCGGCGCTTCGAGAGTTCGCGCTCCACGGTGGCGATGGGGATGTAGTTGCCGATGGCTCTTCGTTGCTTGCGCGCCGTGCCGCCTCGAAGGCCTCGCTTGCGGATGTCTTGGTTGTTATCCCAGAGCTCAGTCAATTCATGCTGGATACGGGCTTCGTGTTGGTCAACGGTCGTATGCGCGGCGCGGACGAGGTCGGCGAGAACGCAAACGCGATCGAGGTGCTCTTGGACGGCGCTAAGGTCGATGAACAGGGCCGGATCGAGCTTGATGGATACTGAAAAGAATGTGGTTTGTGCTAACAATGCCGATGAGGGTGGCTCGTACTGCTCGAACTGCTCGATACCCGACAGGAGATCTGAACATTTGTCAGTAGTTGTTAATGAGGTGATCGACAGTCCTACCGTAGTCTTCCTCTTCAAACTTTGAGACCGCCATATCCGTCTCCATTGAAGCCATGTTGTCAATGGGATGAATGCATGGAAGGAAATGTTCGATTGAAAGTCGAGTGAAGAAGGACCAACGGTGATAGAGAGTGTGCGGCAGAACTTCACTTCAACTGCGCGGCTGGGCCATGACATTCACTGTGTGCGTTCCATGCTGTCAAATCGTGGCATCTCTCCCTGGGGTGCGGTAGAATGTCGCACTCAGTCAAGCTCGCCCTTCACCACCCAGCTCCGTTGTATGTCCATCACCATCTGCTAAAGTCGTCTCCATCTCCAAGGCCGCCATGCTCTGAACCTAGCGAGGCTTTCATCACTCAGATGATGAGCCCAGCCTCGGCCACCTCTGGTGTCAAGCGCAGCTCGCAGCTTGTGGCCGGACCGCTCTCCAATATTGCACCACGCCGCAGGGATGCGTTGAAAGTTTTCCGAACCACAGGCTTGAATTGGAGACCGGTTGACGTCCTCGCAGCTATCGCCGATGGCATACTTGATCCTATTGAGTGGGCGAAGCAGTATATCCTGAAATTGTGAGTCTGGGAACGGTACGGCGCCGAATACACATATGATATGACATTTGGGGTATCAGGACATGAACATCTACGGGCGTCATCAACCCGTTGCAAGAATCTGAACCCGGGAAGTTGGGACAGCAGTTTGAAGTTGGAAGCCAAGCTGTCCGACGAGTTGTAGAGCTTCCATGCCGTCAGAATCGGAAGGACCGTGGTCGCCGGACGATCGGGGAAGGTGTGCATGGTGATGCCCCAGCGTCAACATGGTTCAAGGATGATTTCTGTGCCTGCTGCAAAGATCAGCTATGCCACCGATGTGCAGTCCAGTGCCGGCGAGACACGAGACGTTTGGAAGAATATTGTGAGCTTCGACACGAATTGCACAAGAAGGAGGATGGCGAGCTTGCCCATCCGCGAAATCAGTGGGCATTCTCTGACCAGAAAGGGGCAGTTTTGGTCTCGCCTTGCACAGAGAAGGTGGTATTCCTATTCTGCTTGAAAATATTGGCCATATCTGATGGTTTGCCGTGTTACACTGACAGCGGTGACAAAGGGACAATCGCTGAGATAATCGATGATGTGCGTATCCGATTTTCTTCCACTTTGCAGTCACTCACGCCACCACCACGACACCCCCACATCCAGGCACTCGTTGTTTACATACACCCTGCCTGCCCCTCACTCATCTCAATAAATTTCTCTCCTATTGACTTCACAATACAAGCCTCAAAACCCGGCTCAACTATTGGACAGCTCTAGAGCAGATCGACCTCAAAGTCTCGTTGAAGAGCCAGCATCACGATGCTCATTCAAGAATCACACAAAGATGTGCCGACCAAGGCAGCAGGGGAGGGTTCAATGCGTACGCCTCCCGCCAACCTGTAATGGCTCCGACGTGAACTCTGGCTGAGCGATCAATACGAAAACAAAAGGAATCTATATCTTTCACCCTACCATCCCTGGCTACCCAGACGCAAAGTTTCCCGGTGTCGTTGTGTTTTCGGAAATCTACCAAGGTAAAAAGAAAGCCACACTCCACCTTTTACGGATCGAGATTGGGAGTCGTGACGAGAGAACTCTAGCAGACTGAAACACTCTTTTTACTTGCAGTGACCGGCCCCGTCGCCCGCTTTGCCCGCCAAATCGCCGGCCAAGGCTACATCGTCGCTGCTCCGTCGTCGTACCACGAGTTCACGGGTCCCGAGCCGCTCGCCTACGACGTCCCCGGCACCGACGCGGGGAATGAGTGGAAAATCACCAAGAAGCTGGCCGCGTACGACGAGGACGCGGAACTGTCCGTCTCGTTGCTGTTGGGCCTGAAAACGTGCAACGGCAAGGTCGGAGCCACGGGGATGTGTCTCGGTGGCCACCTCGCATATCGGTGTGCGTTGGACCAACGGGTCAAGGCTGCTGTGTGTTACTTCGCCACGGACATACATAGCCACAGCCTCGGGGAAGGGAAAAATGACGACTCCTTAAGGAGGGCGGGCGACATTAAAGGGGAATTGGTCATGATATTCGGTAAGAGCGACAACCACGTCCCTCCCGAGGGCAGGGATTTGATCAGGAAGACGCTGCATGAAAAGGGCGTCGAGTTCTCCTTCTACGAGGTTTTCGGCGCGCAGCACGCGTTTATCAGGGACGAGTTGAGCAAAGGCAGATACGATCCGGCCATCAGCAAGGTATGCTTTGAGATGCTGCTCGAGGTCTTTGGGCGGAGGCTCAAGCTCGATCTGGGCGAGCCGAGCGGCGAGAAGCTGGTCATTGAAGACGTGTGTTGAAACACAGAGAGTCAAGGCACGGCGGATGGGCCATTTCCCTTGCAGAGGCAGTGAATGGCCAAACCAATTGCATACAATTTCCCTATACCAGGTGGTCTCAGACCAGCAATCTACAATTTTGCCTCGGGTTTCTTGTCCCCCTCCCCCGTCGTCTTATACCCAAACAAGTACGCGGCAACCTTGCGAATCTGCACCTCCTCGCTCCCCTCGGTGATCCGATACCTTCGGAAGTGTCTCCAGATGTGTTCAAAGGGGTAATGTCGCGAGTATCCGACTCCGCCGTGGACCTGGATCGCACGATCGGCCGACTCGCAGCACAGACGGTTGGCGTAGTAATTGCACATGCCGATCTTGTGGCCCAGTTGCTTCTCGATGGCGATCCACGGCGCGCTGCCGTTGGCCTTGCACGCCGCCGTGACCTGATCCATCTCCACGGCGGTGCGGAGGATCAGGAGTCTCAGCATCTCAGCCTGGGTGGAGAGCTCCACGAGCGGCCACTGGATGGCTTGGTTCGACGAGAGCGGCTTCCCGAACACGGTCCGATTCTTGGCGTACTCGACGCTGCGCTCGATGCAGTACCGCGCCGCGCCGCAGCTGGAGGCCGCCTGACGGATGCGGTTCTCGTGCGTAAACGTCTGGGCGATGGCCAGGCCGTTGTCCACGGGCCCGAGGATGGCCGAGGCAGGAACTCGGACTTTGTCAAAGAGCACGGTGGCGTGGTCCGTCGGCATGTTGAGCGTCCACTCGTACGATGCGACCTTCACGCCGGGCGTGTCCACGGGGACGATGAAGGCGGTGATGCCCTTGGGAGATCCGTTCTGGCCAGACGTCCGTGCAAACACCAGGCTGTGTGTGGCGGTATGCATGCCAGTTTGCCACTTCTTGTTGCCGTTGATCTCGTACCCAGGCTCGCCGTTGGGCAGCGTGATGGGCTTGGCCGTGGTGTCCATATGGGTTGCGTCGGAGCCGTGGTAGATCTCGGTCAAGCCAAAGGTGGATTTGAATTCGCCGTTGATGCTGGCGGGGATGTACTTGTTCTGCTGCTCCTTGGTGCCGTAGTGGTGCATCATGATGATGAACGGGTTGTTGCCGACGACACTGTGTTCATTCTGCAGGTCGTTGGCCAGGCTCACGCCGCCTCCGTAGACTGGGTGGGACGATAGATGGTACCGGATGGCACACATGTACAGGTTCTGGTGCTCACTCCCCGCTCCGCCAAATTCCTTGGGGAACCCGAATCGGTAGAACCCTGCCTCGTCGGCCAGTTTGCGGGCTTGCCGGAGGAGGTTCTCCCACTCATGGGTAGGCAGGCCTTGGTTCTCCCATTGCGTTCGCGAAGATTCGCGGCGGTGGTCAAAGAAGCGGTTGTTGTCGTCCTTGTGTTGGAGCGGGAGGATCTTGTCCTTGATGAATGCGTCGATGCGCGAGATGTAGTCTTGAAGGTCGGCGGGGAGCTCGAAATTCATTGTGTTCTACTGGGTTCGAAAAAACGAATGGGCACAGGAACTGGACGGTAGCTGGAGGACTGGCCTTCTCAGGATGGTTTGACTTTCAGCCCATTCTATCTACATATATTAAAAGCTTTGTCTCTGCCCCCGTGGCGTCTTGTCGGCTCGTCGATGCGGAGTAAGGCGAGGCTGATTCTGGAGAATCGTTATCCTCGGATGCCGCATCCTCGGTTCGCGACCTTGGATAGCCGCTTGATGGTTGGACGGCGTCAGGTCTTCCGTATGGGAATTCTACTCTGCCGTAGTCATGCTTCTGTGGAGCATAGAGACGGATAGCGTACTTTTGTTTCCGCCCTCGCGGTGTGCACCCAGCACCAAAGCCCAGCAATGATCCTTTCTACCGACCTAGGTAGCTAAAGTCCTCGACCAGGGCACGGTTGTTGTGATGAATCCTGGTCTGCCGAGTAGATTATCTCCAACGGTCGGCGGATCCGTTGCCGTCGATCTTTGACCGGCGCTCGCTCAATCTCGACCTCGCCTGCTGCTGAGAGGTTGTCTATCTTTAGGCATGTCGATTTCCGTGCCTCTGTCGGATGAGTATATTTAGAACTACTACGGAATCCTCGTCTTACGCAGTCGGCTACAAAGCTGAGAAAAGGGAAGGGCCTCAGAATGGTGCTTGATGGGGCAACGACTCGCTGTTAATGGTTGTCGGGCAGAGTTGCACATGAATCCTGGGTTTTCGGATCTTGCGGCATGCTCACTCCGGAGACAACGCGCGACGGTGCAAAGACCGTCGATGTGGGAGACGCCTTAAAATGGTGATGGATTTCCGGCCGTCTGAACAGTGGATCGACAATGTATCTAGCGAGATACGGTTTGCAACGACATGTCCCGTCCCGCACTGTGCACGTTGGCATACAGCAGATGCCGAGTGGCTTCTGGACGTGATGTTCATACGCGTTGCCCATCAATCCTGGGCACGACTCCTGCCAGTGCCAACCATTCCCCGGGCTAGAAAAGCTGGCAGCATCATTTGTATCGTGGCAGGCTTGTCTCGGATCTTTGCCCCATGCTGCCGAACACTCGAAAGGCGCGAATCTTCCAATCTCGTTTACATGCTAGACCCAGCAGCACGAGCATGCCCATTTGAAAGGCGACAACATGACTTTTCTCAAGAGTGTCATCAGGTTGTCTTTATAGCACGGACCTATGTACGTAAATGCAGCCACCTCTCTGTCGGTTCTCCGCAGATGAATTCCAACTTACCAAAATCAAAGATCTTCTGGATTGCTCACGCAGATAGCCGAATAGGTTTTGTGGCTGGCGCAGCTGATCTCGAACACGATGCAGCATCAGCTTCCGGTGACTGCGAGCATCGAGGTTTGAGGGAAAGCTATGCCGAAGTGAGACAGGAGGCTGAGCAGACGATGAGACTAACGTACCACTCAGCCAACGGCAAACGTCGAGGATGCAGGAGAATGAGGAGAATGAGGCGTTTCAATCTCGGGATGCAAGCCACGGGAGTGCCAAGACTTGAATAGTTGCGACACACTAAACCACTTTCGGCATATCCCTTCTCCTTTTTTCCACTTCCTCTGATTCCAAGCATACAACGAGACAAAGCTGATTCCGTGGCTTGATCACGAATTTCTGGCAAAAGACCCCACATTCCATGGCGCGGCTGTTGGCAGTTGGACCGGTCTCTGAACTCAACTTTGTTTGGCAACGGTGACCGAGGCCCTCAAAGTGTGTTCTTCTTGAGCTGCCAAACAAAGCCTGGCGGCTATCCCCAATGTCAGCAATCATCGATGTCACTGGCGTGCAGAGGCCCCGCTGGAGAAGCCTCGTGCGTCTTCCAGCCATGTGGCGCTGATCCCCAACAGGGTAGAGACCTGGTCGCCTTTGAGATGATTCGATAACAGTCTTACTAGGGTTTGCAGAGCTCCCAGGACGGAGTAGTTCAGATGCGCTGCGTTCGCGCTGGTCTAGGTAGGGATAGCCTGCGGAGTGTGCTGAACGCTCTGGGGGCCATCTACTCAGCCTGCACATCTCTCCTCCTCCTCTTTCCTTGTTCTTTTTGGTAAACCATCTTTGCGTTGTCGATTGGCACGCGTCCATTCATTCACACCAGTCGCTCTTTCTTTGAGCTGTTGCTCAATGCAACATGCTGCCATTCTTTTCGTTTCTTTTGTTTACTAATGTGGCTTTGGGTTCATTGGGAAAATGGGAGGGTTTCATGCCGTGGAGGAAGAATCTGTTGGAACGCGACGTCGAACCGACCTGCTCTTGTACTGATCCAATTGCCGCCGAGTGGGCAACCAACAAATTCTTTGCCGATGCTGCGACATCTGCTGCGACCCCGGCCGGTTATTATCAAGCTTTCAACAATGGACAAGCATGGATCTCAGGAGATGGATTTATTGGACACACGACAATTGATGAGTACGACAGCGGCATATGCGCGGCGATTTGCGATAGCATTGACGAATGTTCCTCGTTCGAAATCTACTTTGAGAAGGAAATTGGTGGACCAGCTCCGGCAATCAAGTGTTCTTTCTGGGCTGGGGCGATTACTGCCACTGGCTCAAGCAGTGCGAATGCTGTAATTGCCGGTTGCAACGGCTACACCAACAGCACCCTCACAATTCCTAATGGATTTGATGTTCCGGTTTTCATGGCGGGCGCGGCAATTCATCCACCACCGACTCCTGGAGCATTCATTGGCTCAAAGATCTTCTATGGACCATTCGACACATCGAATTGCGCCGACGAGTGCAGCGCAGTTGGTTGCAAATTCTTCAACACCTACGTTCTCTCTAAGAATGGTGTGAGCCAGGGCCAATATTGCGACATGTACACTCAACCATTTGGGCCAGAATGGGCAACGGAAACCGGAAAGTCAGACGGAAACACAAACTTTACCATCTCTCATAGCTTCACCTGTGGTTCGGCTGGAGACAAACGTGGTCAGGACCTACCCAACGGCGCATCCAGCGTTCCACCGACCGCGACACCTGTCAACAGCAGTGGCACAGGAGGATCTTGGGAAGAGCATCATCCTTGGCATGGAAGTAGCCCTAATGCAGGCAGCGGTGCGAACAGTGCAAGCGGCGGCCCAAGCAGCTCTAAAAGTGCATCTTCAGCGGGACCTTCTAAGGCTTCGGGAAAACCGGCAGGCAGTGGTCCCGGTCATACTGGACCCTCACCGTCTACTTCGATACCAATTTCTCCAAGTAATAAGCACCCGCAGCCTGGAGGTGGCACGAGGACCACGGACTCGTCTCATACGACACCACTGAAGTCGGTTTCCGGCACGCCCCCGGGAAAGCCTGGGAATAACTCGGGAAAACCAACCAGCTCGAGTGGTTCTTCGACTCATATTTCCGAAGGCGACCCAGGACATTCAGACCCCGTTGACGCAACCAGCGCCGGGCCGACCAACTCCAGACCAGGACGGCCCACAGGAAACACTGGGAATAACTGGGGAAAACCAACCAGCTCGAGTGGTTCTTCGACTAACATTTCCGACGGTGACCCAGGACACTCAGACCCCGTTGACGCAACCAGCACAAGGCCGACCAATTCCATTCCAGGACGGCCCACGGGAAGTACATCCAATGCGGCTCCTTGGGGTCGTCCTAGTAGCTCAGGTGCTAATCCCGTGAAACATCATCCTGGAAGCACTGTCAAGGTATCCGGAGTTCCAGCTGCTTCAACCTCGAACGCCGTGCCAAATCCAGGTTCTTCTGAATGGGGCGACTGGGATGCCTGGAGTACTACTACTTACTCAGGTCAAAGCCCAACCTCCTTGCCCGTAGATCCTGTCTCTCAAGGAACGAGTAGCCTCTCGACGCCTGACGCAGTTAGTGTCGATCCTGCCGGAACCTCGACTCCCACATCACCAGTGTCGATCAACTCCGGTAGCACCTCTCATCCTCTCCCGCCCAGGTCAACTGCTGCTTCTCATTCGGAGGAGTGGCTTGACTGGACAAACTCAAAGAGCTCTATACCCGCCATTTCTCAGTCTACTGGCCCTACTACTCCGCAGACCATCGCCGGGTCAACAAGTGGAAGACCAACGAATACTCAACCTCTCCAGACACGGCCTTCAGTCGATCCTTCGAGGCCTGGTAGACCACCTGCCTATACTACGACTAAAACTTCGTTGGGAAACACAGTTGCTGCAGCAAGTACCAAATCTTATGATGAAAGTCAGTGGCTCGATTGGAACGAGGCTCAGTCGTCAACAACTCCGGAACTGTCTCCAACCACTTCGAAGAAGCCTGCTGCTGCCGCAACCACAAAGACCAGTTCTGTACCCGATGGCCGGCCAGGACGGCCAGGACAGCCAACTCGACCTCCAGTGGGCCGTCCACAGACCACCGGGACAACTAAGGGAAGCACACCCACCTCCACCACCAAATCAACCATCCCTGCTGCACCTGCTGCGACTACCAAGACTACTACTGTTCCCAACGGCGTGCCAGGGCGTCCCGGTCAACCAACTAGACCTCCAGTCGGTCGGCCACAGACATCACCAGACCGAGGTAATGGTGGCTCCAGTGATTGGGCCGACTGGGGAGCGTCCGTAGGAGAAAGCTCCTCGGACATCTTGACGACGACGACGACGACATCATTGAAGCCACTCGAGGCTGCAACGACGAAATCTACAACTACCTCTCCTGTTGGTCCTGGCAGACAGCCTATTACTCGGCCGACGCGCCCCGTGGGAAGGCCGCAGCCAACACTACCTCGGTCTCCCACTACATCTAGCGCTTTGCCAGTAGGTGCTCTTACCACAACCTCGACGGCAGAGGAGTCGAGGTCCTCTGGCCATACTTGGCCATCGCACAGCGGAACGGAGGAAATATGGCTAGACTGGACTACTTCATCGACTACTTCGAGTTCTCTCATCGTCGATGGACTTACTACAACCTCTTCTCCTGTAAGTACATCCACAACCTCCAGGCCCAGCAGCTTTACCTGGCCTGCAGAGAATGGGACAGGAGAGATCTGGTTAGATTGGACGACTTCATCTTCAACCTCAAGCCTCCTATCCGTCGACGCTGTGACAACAACCTCGATACCTCCCACTACCACTTCCACGTTTTCGCGACCAGGTGGTGGTTGGCCCTCAGAGAATGGGACAGGACAGATCTGGCTAGACTGGACCACGTCTTCCACTTCAACTTCAAGCCTCCTGTCTGTTGACGCCGC